AGGAATTAAGCAAAACTAAGAAATGAACGCTAATAATTTCCATTTCCTGTAAAACTCCTCACCTTTAGAGTAACAGAAACACATTCAGATCACAAAAAAAACTAGCTTTGGTCACTGTGAAAACAGAAGTGACATATTTGGTGACATATACTGTATGTGAAATGCATTACACCACAAAACAAAAGCAGCACGCGGGCATCTTTCCCACAAACCCACAGCAGGATTCATCACCTGTGTGATATGTGCCCACCGCACCCTAAAGCACTTTTTGAATACACCACGCAAACATTGTGTGTCTGATGTTGCATGGCAGTTTGCAGATGAGGAAGTGTTTGTGAGTGTAATCGTGTGTGCATGTCCTCCATTCTCCCTTCAGCAGCTCAAATGCCTGAATGACTCTTCAGCAAAATCTGTGTGTGTGTGTGTGTGTGTGTGTGTGTGTGATAGCTCAGTGTGATTATCAACACTTGGATTTCTTCATCTTCTCTGTTTTGTTCATTTGACTTGTTCATATATTTGGACTTTAACTGAGTACATTTTGGCATCACTCAGTTCTGCTTCTAATAGTTTTCAGATCGAAGAGTTGTTTGTAAATGGGAATCTCAGCATGACCGTGTTGAACAGAACATCAAGCACAAATGCTCAATTTTCTCAGAAAAAGCATAAATAATTTTGGAAAAAGCACTGAAGGAGGGATTTTATTTTGCCGTGTTTCTGCACACAGGCCTTCATCAGGGCTATGAGGTTGCAGGTGTACATGAAAATAATAACCAATGAAAAAATTGGAAATTATAAAAATATTGTTGCATAAATGTCTTGAATGGAATTGTGCACTGTATGTTTATTAAAACTATATGTGTGTTTGTTAACATACCTGTATATTTATTTCAAAAAAATATTTGGCTATTTGTTTGATGAATTTTGTGATGGGTGGATTATTTTATCCATTTTTTTCATTGGTTGTTTGCAAGTTTGAATTTTTCCCTTGTTTGTGTTTAAAGGATCCCATGTACATCTGCAACCTCTTAGCCCTGATGAAGACCTGTGTGCTGAAACGCGTTAGCAAACTAAAATTCCTTTTTTAATTACGTTCTTTGTTCGTTCTGACCCCTTGAGATTACAAGTTTTGCTGCTATTGTCCCAATCAGTTTTTTTTCTACACACCTTGTTGATTGTGTGAAGTTGCACCGGAACAATCAAACAACCTTTTTGGAAAAAACATTGAAAACATGTTTTAATTTCATTAAAATCAGGTCATATTTTTATTCTACACTGCGTGCATAATTATTAGGCAAGTTGATATCTGATCTTTTTTTTTTTCCAAGCACATTTGACCAATTCCAAACCACATCAATCTTAATAACTACTATTAATTTTGAATGTAATCATTAATAAGTGATATATAATTGTCCATGAAGGCTGGCAGATATCTGCCAGATTTAGCCACAGATGGCTCTCCGTAGCCACCATCACCACCATCGAACGACCGATAGCGGCGGCAGTTTGCTTAGTGCCAAATCTGTGGTACGGCGCAGCTCCTCCACCACCTCCGGAGGGAGTCCCCGGCCCTGGTCCAGGTCCTTCAGCAGGTCAGCCTGGTAGGCTTGCAACATGGCCATCGTGTGCAAAGCCGCACCAGCCTGACCTGCTGCCGCATATGCTCTGCCGTTTAGCCATGACGTAACCCGCAGCGGCTTAGTCGGCAGAGACGGCGTCTTCAATGCGGATACCTCACCCACCAAGAGAAAGCTAGCCAGTGTCTCTTCAATCGGTGGCATCGACGCACATCCATATTCCTGCATTCCCTCCACATCAGCATAGTTTGCTTGTGAAAAGTGAATGCGAGCAGAATATCGCTTTCCCCAGGCTCTCCGCACCTCAGTGTGAAGATCTGGCAGAAAGGGAAGACTCGTACGAGCTAGGCGGTTATGTCCTGACCTTAAAGTGTTCATCGAGGCGACCACGAGGGGCTCGCGCTTCTCGTGCCTCCACGGCAGATCTAATCTTTCCGTAGCACGAGACATAACATCCAACAGCTTGTCATATGCAGGGCAGGCAGGATGTGAGTGCTCAGAAACATCGTCGATCTCAACAGCCTCTTCCTGCTCATCTTGGCTTAAGGTGAGGAGCGCGCTCGCTGCCGGATCAGACGACGTGAGTGACAGCACGTCATCATCCCACAGCTCGCCGCCAAGGAATGAGAAAAACTCATACCTTTTTCAAACTCATCGGCAAGCTCCACCTGCGAACCCCACGATTGCAGTCTCCTACTTGCCTCGGCTGCAGCAGGTCCTGAACCACAGGATAGAGATGGTTGTCCCGATTCCCTCAAGAAAAGGGACAGACGAGAACGAAGCTTTCTCAACGAAAAGCGCTCGCAATGCATGCAAACAGCCCCCTCGAGAACTGAGCGTGCATGCTCCTCGCCCATACATATAATGCACATAACATGCGTGTCATCAGGTGTCAAGAAACGCTGAGCTGTGCTGGTGCTTGCCATAGTTCTGCCGTAATTTGTCTAGATCACAAATTTAGAAAAACGGATTCCGTGAAGACAAGAAAGAGGATGACAGTTTTTACAGGTGCTCTTTTATACTCTCGGACGCACCTTTTGTGATGTCATAGGCTGCCGCCTGCCAATGTCAAGTTCATTGTCATGATTAGACTCATGCTTCATGCCAAAGACATTCCCCAAAGCGCCCTCTAGAGGACGCAGCGTAGATTTCCCATTCGAAAGGGAACTCCTTATATTCAGGTGTGCATAATTATTAGGCAGGTTTTCTTTTACAGATAAAATGAGCCAAAAAAGTGATTTAACTCAGACTGAAAGTCAAAAATTATTAAATGCCCATGAGAAGGATGCAATACTAGAATTTGCAAAGTTAAGGCATGACCATTAGACAGCAAAATGCTCATTGGGTCAGCACGGTCAGAAAAAAACAGGTGGAGAAAAAAAGACACGTTAACTGAATAAGAATTAAGGTGAAGAATTAGGTGTGAAACCATCAGGAACCCTTTAGTCTCCAACGCCACCATTTTCCAGAACTGCAAACTACCTGGAGTCTCCAGAGTGCAATGTGTCAGGTTCTCAGAGACTTTGCTTGGGTAATAAATCCTAAAAAAAAAAAAGACCCTCACTTAATAAGAATAACATGCTGATGTTTTGTGAAATACATGAAGACTGATTTTTTTAAAAAGGCTTTATGGACAGATAAGTTGAGAGTGACTCTTGAAGGAACAGCCTCACATCCCTTTCGTACCACTCTTTCAAGAATTTATCTTCCAGAATCTGGCAGTAAGTTTTGAGAGTTCACATTCTAAAATGAGCTCCCAAAACTTACTTGCTCTTAAATTTATTTATTTAGTCATTAAGCAGAAGCTTTTATCCAAAGCGACTTACAAATGAGGACAACAGAAGCAATCAATTGTAGTATTAAAACAACTAAAAACAGATCCAAAACTAAAAGCTAAAACTTTATAAATACTACTTATACACATTTTAAAAATAAAGAAATTAAATAAAAATGACAAATGCATACAACAAAATTAAAAAACTTAACATTTAAATGAAAAACAAAAAATAAAGCTAAAAACAATTCAAAATATTAAAGAACAAAAGGTATGAGTATAATAATGATTCTAACATAACACTAAGCCAAACACCAAAAAAACAACTAGCTAGGACATGCAGATTGGCTGATAGTTAAATCTATCATCTGTTCAGTATCTTGTTACTTGTTTCAGTCCATTATTCCTGTTTGGACCAGACAGATTTTGCATAGTGTTTTTGGGATATATTTAAACAGGGTAGATGAAGATGACAGAACTACTCTCTCATTGATTGCTGAAAGTGTAATCGGATTGCTCAGTATTGAATGTGCAAGTGTCTTCTACTCAGTCATTTAATGGCTCTTCAGTAACGAGTTGATGAGGTCAAAGCTGTTTAATACATGGCCAATGAAATCACACAAATGCACAGATCTGATCTTATTTTCATTATTATAGTTTACTTTGAGACTGATTTGTCAGATTGTTCTTATCCCAGACCAGATCTCATGAATCACATCATTCTGTAGAGAGTCTTGCTCTTCTGTTAATTCCAGCACATTCTCACTCCAAACTCTTCACATATTGACGCTTGGTCAGGACCTTTTGGTGTTACTTTTTGATGCACGGGGTACCCCTTTTAGCGTAATTTTTCGGCGTGCAGGGTCCTCCATTGCTTTGAATAAGAAACCTTGGCATCAATATGCCAACGAGAAAGGCACGGGGAGTTTTTATCGCCATGATTAAATTATATATTGGGTAATAATATTGCCAATATTGCATATATGTTGGGGTGTGATTTTCCAATGTAAATAGTCACAACAGTTTTATTTACATTACACTATTTACACATTTATGAGCACGTAACCCAACCCCTGCCCCTAAACCTAAACCTTAATTCCAAAGTCTTGGAATGCAACAGGACTTGATTGTAATGGTTTTATACTGCTTGTTTATGGTCAGTTTTTGAAATAAATACCTGTGACTGCACTTATATTTGCCTGCTACATGTTTTGTATTGTTCAGAAGTGGGTAGGTTTAGGGTTGGGTGGGGTTAGATGCTCCAATGAAAGTATAAATTTATATAAAATTATTTCAGTTTTTTTACAAATGCAAGCAAACCATTAAATTAAAACCATTAATTAACTGAAAACAATGGAGGACCCTGCACGTCGAAAAGTGACGCTAAAAGGATACCCCTGTGTGTCGAAAAATGACACTAAAGGTGTACCTTGAGCATCAAAAAGAGCCGCCAAAGGGTCCTGACCAAGCGTCAGTATGTGACGAGTTGGGAGTGAGAACTCAGCAGCATCATTCACTTCCTGTCTGCAGTGTTGAATGGTTTTCATGACACTCTTGTAACATATGGAGACAAAGGGCTTTCAGAAAACGATACGATCTCATTTCATCTGTCTCTTGAATTCATTCTGTCCTGTATGGTTTCTCTGTGGTAGATGTAGACGGGCTGAGCAGGGAGGAGGAGTCCTCCGGCCTGAACGATGCGGATGAGGGCTTCTCGTCCGGCGCGTCCAGCAGCAGCCAGCCCAGCGGTGTGCGCGGGAGGAAGAACCACCCGTCCGCTCGCAGGACCTCCAGCACCTCTCTGGACTGCAGGAGGGGGCTGGGCTCTGCCGCCGAGGCTCGCAGATACTCCATCCTCAGCCTGCAGGAGCAGCATCTGCCGGAGGAGGTGGAGCTGCTTTCTCCTGGAAAACAGAGCCGGTCACCCAGCTTCAACATGCAGCTTATCTCACAGGTCTAGAACCGGCTGCCTCGTCCACGGCTTTCTACGTTCAGTTGGACTGTCACTTCTTGACAGAAGAATTATAGCCTGAAAGCGGGAACTCTCATTACTTACTCATGTCATTTCAACCCTGTATTTTTCTCTTGAAACATAAAAGCAGTCGAAGCCATGGTGGACGGTGATTCATACTGCCACTCAGTGAACACCGTACCAACTTCACACCAGTCAATATTAGTGTTACTTACCTTTCTACAGTCAGTTTGTAAAGGAACAAATCTTTTCCCATTTCACACAGCCCAGCGTGATTCATTTAACTCTTTTCAGCCAAGTTGCCAGCGTCCGCCAGCAATTTTGATCATTGTCACAAAATTCTCATGGCCCCCAGAATATTTAGTTGCATGAATATCTGAACGTGCAGAGTCTCTGCTTTTAACAAACAAACAAAAAGGTTTTATTCTACTTACATGCATTGTTTTTTTTATCTACACTCAAATGTGGGTGTTTAAAAAAAATAAAAAAATAAAAATTTGATCAAAAGGCTGAGAAAATGGCATTTAGTCGGACTACATCCAGATCAGATTCAGTACCGAGTTAACTTTAGGTGGTTTTGATTGATATGCTGATTGATGATGGTTGTAAATGTTACACCACCCCCTACTGTATAACAGTGAAAACACAGAATGCTGGAACGTTTCATCAATGGTGGGGAAAGAGTTGAAAGCAAGACCTGTAATGGCTGTATTTCTCACACAGGGCTGCTGTCTGACTCTGAATAGTGTGCTGGTCGTATAGAATGCTTTAATGGTGCTCTCTGGAAAGGAAAGAGAGAAAGAAGGCATACAGGACTGAAATGACATGAGAGTAAATAATGATGGTTTCCATTGTTGGCTGAACTAATCTCTTAAACCCCGAAGTGACAGCTGGCCTGACAGCGATCTAACCGTCTCCCTCTCAGGCCAAATCTGAGCTGGACCGACATGTGCGAATCGAACATTGTGAATTTTCTGATGACAGTCAGTCAGCAATAAATCATCCCTAGTCCTCCAGAAGATTTGAATGCGTAACTGCAGCGTCTAATGCGGCCCTCTGATTTGGATCAAATTTCATATAAATGTTAGTTTTTATGGCAGTGTTTTAAAGGTTTTTATGGTTATGTTCTTAAGATTATTCTGACTGAAATCATCAGAAGCCCAAATGACTCTGAACTTGGCAGACTCTCTGAGAAAGGGAAACTCAACATATAAATTGATATATTTATGTGATATACTTGTGTGTGAATAATGTAAAATACAATTCTGTCAGAAGACAACATGCTGTAGATGTGGAGAGTAGTGCTGTATTTTGCAGACGCTTTAATCCAAAGCCATCCTTGACAAGTGTCAGTGCTGCTGGTGGCTTAGAGGTCCATGAATGGGATGAGCAGTTATCTGCTGTCAGCCTCACACAGTCACATCAGTGTCCGTAGAGCTGGCCTGCAGGTCAGGCTGTGCTGAGGCTGAGCTTTAGTAACATGTGAACAGACATGGTGATTTTCCCAAGCCAAACTCAATGTCAATGATCAGACATGGCATTAGTGATTTTATAGATGGTCACATAAGCCTGTAATATGATTAAAGAACAGCAGTGTGTCAGTGTGTTTTGTCCAGCCTGAATCGAAGGCTCTCATACAGATATAGATACACTCAAGAGAGAAGAACCTCTTGCAAAACAACAAACCACCCTATGGAGATCAACAGAAGCTGTCTTGTGCTGTTCTTCTGTGTTGTCATGTGAATTATATCTGCTGTATTTATTTGCTGACTATCTCTGGTCATAATGGGACATTATAGTGTGTGTGTATGTGTTCTGTCTATGTGCTTGAGTATTTCAGCACAAAAGTGGATCTGTGTCCTGTATTTCAGCGTTTCACAGCCCAAAGTCTGTTCCAGCCATGATAGTCAGGGATGTTTTTCTCTGATTTTGCTTTGTTTCTCTTTGCTTTTTTAAATGCACACAGCTGTAATGTGTCTGTCATTCTGTCTCATTTTGATATGTCTCCGCTGTGTAGAGTGGTTGTGTGCTGTGATCAAAGCTCCAGCAGAGCTCCTGAACTGAACTGTCTCTGCTGAAAAAGGAAATGTGAGATTATACTGTGAATAAAAGTGGTTAGTCATTTACCAGTGAGCGTGATTGTGTTTAAATTCTCTTGTCCAGTGCCTAGAAATAATACTCACTATCTGTACTTGTACTTTGACATTATTGCATACGATTGCACTACAATCTTTGAGAACTGATCTGAAGCACAAACTAAACCATTATTAAGTTACTATTACAATGCTGATTTCCAACATGTACATTTATTCACTAATGCCGAGTTCACACTGCACGATTTTAGCCCTGATTTTCACTCGCCTACAGGTTTTGCAAAATTGCAGACAAATGCCTGAAATTGAAAGCAAATTGGTGCTCGTTCACAAGGTCAAGTCACCAGATTGTCAAAGCAGCTTTACAGTATTAAATAGGAAAATATTGTGTCAATAATGCAAAATGATGTCAGTGATGTCATCATCCAGCTCAGTTCAGTTTAAATCGTGTCTGTGCAATCAAGTCGACGATATCGCTGGAAATTAAGTGTCCCCAACTAAGCAAGCCAGAGGAACCAGAACTCCATCGGTGACAGAATGGAGAAAAAACCTTGGGAGAAACCAGGTTCAGTCCTCTGGCCGGACGAACCAGCTGTTCAATTCCAGGCTGCAGCAAAGTTACATTGTGCAGAGGACTCCTGATTCCTGTGGTCTTGTCCTGGTGGTCGTCTAGGAGACAAGGGGCCTCATTTATAAAATGTTGCGTATAAACAGTCCTAAATTTGTTCTAAGATTGTTACTCAAAAGTGCGTAAGTGCGATTCAGAGAAAACAAACGTGCGTACGCCTCTCTTCCAGATGTGACATTTATAAATCGCAATTGATCTTAAAATTGTGCACAGCTGACTGTGTCAGGTCTCCACCTTGTAAATGCCCCCTAATTAATATCATTACCATATAAAAGAGCACACGCCAAAATCTGAATTTATATGCTTGAGAATGACGAGCACAAAGAAAAAAAACCTTTACCAAGTGTAAAAGTTGAGGTCCTGCTGGCAGAGGTAGAGGTCCGTGCGGGGAGACTTACAAGTATCAAACTTAGTCTTATTAATTGATACATTAAGTATCAGTGACACCTTTTTACAAAGGTGTGTTTGAACTAAGAATCTGACGTATCCCTCAGGTGTAGATCTGCTGAATATGCAAATGGTTCCATAAATTTCATTCCTTATGCCTCTTTCTGTACTTGAGTTAAGCTTTAACCCTTTCCTATACCAACTGTATGTGTGTATGTGTTTGTGTATGTTAGACCAGTTTATGTTTTTATGTAGTATGTTAGACTAGTTTAAGTGTTTATGTAGTTAATAAAACCTTACTTGTATCACACTTGACATGGTTCATTGTTTGCTTATAACTGGAGTCACTTAATCATGCAGATTTATGCTACAAACTTTTGTAGAATTGTACAGTAAGAAAGTTATTTCCCTTAACCAGGAAATTAACGTTCTTAGAATTGACAAGACAGTTGACCCTGAGAGGTCAGCTAAATATCTACAGCGGATCTAAAATATTCATAATTAATTATAACTAGTTATGGTTAATTATTCATATTTCCCATGAGCTGATTCGTTACAGAGCCTCTTCGCCCGCGAGGGTGAACGCTACCTTGGTTGCATGTGTGTTTCACTTATAAAACGTAAGGTGAGTATATTATATTTAAATTTATATTTATAATATATATATATATATATATATATATATATATATATATACTGTATATATATATATATATATATATATATTACAGGCATTTCATAACAAACAGCCAAAGAGGGGCCTATTCACCTGTAAGGGTGAAAGTTACCGAGTAGAGGAGAGCTGTTTATGATCACAGCGTGGGAGTCTTATTGTAATTCAGACAAAGAGGCCTCTTCGTCTCTGGAGATGAAAGCTATCTAACTGATTTAAGTTTCCTTGTTTTATGATGCAAGAGGAGAACACCACTGGTTTACCCTCTGAGATGCCTGCAGGCAAAGAGCCATTACGGTCTGAACGAGGTCCTCAGGAGGAAGGTGTCAAATGTAAACAAGCTTGTAAACGCAAGCATGTAGAAGGGGACATTGGCAAACTTCAGAGGCAAATGCAAGGTATGCAGGAGACCCTGAACACTTTATTAGTGGCTCAGCAATGGGTGGCAGAACCTCAAGACTTAGGGGTGCCATTGTCAAAACGTCCATGCCGCCACCCTGATGAGCTTTCAGTGGCAGCATCTGGAGTGTTTGGAAGGGATGAAAATGATGTGCCTTCAGAACCAGAGGAAATCTCTATGTCAGAAACAGGGGATAGTGCTTCTGAGGCCTCAGAGGCTATTGCACTGGACCCTTCAGATAAAGCAGTGATTTCCAGAGCTGCTGAGCGTGCAAAACTGCCTTCCCAGGCTGCTTCAACATCAACCTCAGAGTTTGATAGAGACCCTCAGCGTCGTAAAACAGAGGGGTTGCCAATACTTCCTGATTTTATAATGGAGTTGCAGTCTTCCTGGAAGGCCCCTAGTTCTACGTCCCTCCCTAGGACACAGCTGGGCAATCTGGCAGGGGCAGTAACTTATGGGCTTGCTACAGCTCCTCAGATCGGACCCACGTTTGCTATGTTGACTGGGGCTATGGCCAGGACTGGAAGAGATGCACACCCTAACAAGCATGGTAGAATAATTGGAAGTCAGCTGCGGAAAGCCTATCAGGCCTCGGCCTTGTCGGCAAGACTTGCATGCACAAACTCTCTCCTCTTGGTTTATTTAGAGGGTCTGCTGCAGGATTTGTCCTCCACTTTGACAGAGGAGGAAAACATCCCAGAAACATTGCGAGTGGTTGATATGCTGTTTCGAGGAACAAGTGCACACGCCCAAGCCCTGGGGCAGTCCATGGCCAATATGGTTCAAGCATGCCGTCAGGTATGGCTATCTCAAGCTAATTTGTTAGCTCAAGATTGCATGGCTGTCATTGCAGCTCCATTAGTGCCTGGGGAGGTCTTTGGAGCCCATGCAGAAGCAGCTTTGGAGCAGTCTCGTAGAACAAGAGAACTGACTCGATCAGTGGTTAGAGCCCCAGCTACTTGTGGGCAACGCATATCAGCTGGGAGCAGTAATTGGGCTCGGGCAGAATCAGCAAACCAGGCCTTCATAGGTCAGCGCCGGTCTGCTGCCCATGGGGCACCTATAAGACCAAGCCAAGGAGTCCGGCAGTCCTTTCGTAGGACATGACAGCCAGAGTCTTCCAGCACACGTGCAGCAGGAGGGAGGAACCGTTACTGACGGTTATCAACCTCCGGCCCCACATTTTTCCAGTCAACATCTCTTCCACTGGCGCCAATGCATTCAATGTCCATGGGTGCTGAGCACCTTGGAGCTCGGATACAGGCTCCAATGCAAATCCAAGCCACCCCAATTTCAAAGGATTGTTCTTACTGTTTTGAGAGAAGAGACACAGTGCAGGTCTCTGACAGACGAGGTCTCAGTTCTTTTAGGAAAAGGAGCAATAACACGCCTGCCCTCGGGTTCGATAGGGCAGGGGTTTTATTCAACCTATTTCCTGATTCCAAAGAAAGATGGGGGTCTTCGGCCCATCCTGAATCTCAGGAAGTTCAATCATCATTTAAAGCAACTGCCCTTCCGCATGCTTTGTCTTTCAACCCTTTTAACCTTCATCAGACAAGGGGATTGTTTCTTGGTGGTCCTTGCCCACTTGAAGAAATTGGGGCTGACTCTGAACAGCAAAAAGAGTAGTCTCACTCCCACAAGGGTAGCGACATACCTAGGCTTGAGTTTGAATTCAATTATAATGAGAGCATCTCTGACTCCACAGAGGCAGTCAGTGTTGAAGGAGTGCCTGTCCGAGTTCCTCAAAAAGGAGCAAGTTACAGTGAGATTGGGTCGGAGACTGCTTGGCATAATGGCGGCAGCCAGTCAGGTGGTGCCATTGGGGTTGCTTCACATGCGCCCATTACAGCGATGGTTAGCAAAGTACCAAGTGAGTCCATACGAGAATGGACAGCGACTGATTCCAAGAGACCTGGATTGTCTTCCAGCTGTCAAGTGGTGGCTCTCAACTCCAGGTCTGAAGGAGGGAGTCAAGCTGGGCCCATTATGTTCAAGGGAAACCATAACAACAGATGCCTCACAGGCAGGCTGGGGTGCTGTCTGGCGAGGCAATCCAGTACAGGGAAGATGGGATGCCTCATGGATAGGAGTACACATAAACCTCTTGGAGCTGGAGGCAGTGTTTCGAGCCTTGATCCATTTTCTTCCTCAGCTTCAGGAGAAGCAGGTAATTGTTCGTTCAGACAGCACAACAGTCGTGTCATACATAAATCACCAGGGCGGAGTACGTTCAATATCCTTACACAGGAAGGCCCGGGATCTGCTGTTATGAGCACAAGTTCGAGGGGTGTCCCTGAGGGCTGTACACTTGCCAAGAGAGGACAACGTAGCAGCTGACGTCTTGTCAAGGAGGGGTCCCAAGCCAGGAGAATGGCGACTTCACCCAGCAGTGGTACAGGCAATTTGGCTTCGTTTCGGGAAAGCCAAAGTAGATCTTTTTGCCACACAGGAAACCACACACAGTCCCCTGTGGTATTCGATGGTGGGCCCCAGAGGGCCCCTAGGGGTGGATGCGCTGGCAAACGAATGGCCCCCAGTACTCATGTATGTATTTCCTCCTTTCCCACTTTTGCCTGCAGTCTTGGCCAAGGTGAGAATTTTGAAGGCCAAAGTCCTGCTGGTGGCACCAGATTGGCCTCAACAGTCATGGATGTCGGATTTAATCTCTTTCCTGGGAGGGTCACCATGGTGTCTCCCAGTCAGACAGGACATGTTGTCTCAGGCCCAGGGTCAGATCTCCCACCCGAATCCAGGGAAGTACAGGTTACACGTCTGGCCACTAGACGGGAGTCAGCCAGAAATCTTGGGGAAGCAGTTCTAGCCACTTTGCAGGCAGCCAAAGCCCCGTCTACAAGGCGGCTTTATGCTTCTAGACGGCAGAGGTTTTCTAGATGGTGTCAGTCCATGGGGATAGACCCATTTTCATGTGAAGTGGATTC